TAACTCAGCCACAACATAAACTATAACTCAGCCACAACATAAACTATAACTCAGCCACAACATAAACTATAACTCAGCCACAACTTAAAACAAGTTACTAAGTGAGCCATAACAAATATTATAACTTAGCCGCATCAATAACAAAGTAAGACAACTCAGCCATAACATGATAAGTAACTCAGCCATAACATGAGAAGTAACTCAGTCGTCGAATCTATAGATCTGACAAATCAGCCGTCACGAATACTGTAACTCAGCCGTCGAATGAATAGAGCAAACGACGGCGACAATCAACCATAATAAGCAAAAACAAACACGAGTATAGTCGGAAATACAGTTCGACACTTACCGGAATACGAAAGGTCTCGAATGCAGCAAAGAAACTACGACGAACTCACGGCGACTTCTTCTCTTCACAGCGACTAAAGGCGAGTTTGAAGACCGAAACAGAGAGAGCGTCGGCGGCGAGTACTGTGTAGAAGGCGAGTTTTGTCTTCGTCGTCGGCGGCGAGGAATTTCTCTGTCGCGAGAGAGAAATTTTTTTTTTTTTTTTTTTTCAATTGTGAACAGTGAAGAGAAAGAAACTGTTCAGTTTCTCTTTTGTAATTAATGAAAGAATAACTGTCGATGATGATGTGGCAATTTCGGATCTGATGTGGCAATTTCGGATCTGATGTGGCAATTTTAAGAGAAAACAGACCAAGGGTGTTAATTGTAATTACACCCATTTTGAAAGACATCTAAGGAATAAAAAAAAGATTTGGCTGTTTAAGGAATAAACATACAATTGTGTTCTATCTAAGTAATTCTCCCATAAATTAATGAGTAGTTGTATGGTGTGGAAGTATTATTGACTTCTTTGACTATACTTTGGAACAACAATAACTATCCAAATGTATTGAACATAAATCTAGAATAGTAAAATACTATATCACATTAATCCTTAATACTAAAACCTAGTCCTAAAAAACCTACACAGTAAACATAAACCTAAAACTTAACTAATCAAAACTATCCACATAGAACGGTCCACTTGGACGCAATGACATTTGCTGTATGAAGAAAAAATAATATAATAACCAGATACAGTACAATATAAAACATGGACAGTGAATGTGTGTACAAATAGTTTTTGAGTTGTTGAGAGTTGGATAAGTGTAGAGGAAAATAAAGAAAATGCAAGTCAACACAGATTAAACTATTGGTTAATTGGCTCTCCCTAAGCTGTTTGTAGCAGATAATACAACTACTTTATTGGAATGAAGTTTAGTCAATAGCCTTTTTTTTTTGTTTTTATGGTGGTAATGTGGAATTCGTAGTTATGCATATTAATTAATAATTGCGAAAAAAAAAACCATATAATCCTAGTCTCTTTTTTTTACTATGAAAATATAATCCGACTAAATATTTCTTATAATAAAATAATGTGATAACTTCATAAAGTCATATAAAACAAACCTTTATAGATCAAAGTCCAAAGCTATATATGTATTCATCCTCTGTTTACTTTTAATCCTTGCTAACATTGTTTAACAACATAATTTTTGACAAATCTTAACTAAATTAACAATACAGTATAACCTCTATAAATTAAAAAATTTTGATAAGATAATAAGATAAGAATTATTTTGAGATCTCCATGTAAAATGTAGTCCCAATAATATCATAAATTAATAATCACTCTATATATACATAAAAGTAGATATATTAATATATGTTTTTAGTTTTTTTTTTGTAAAAATGGTTTTCTCCTAGAGTTCACCTCAATAAAGAATTTTATGTTAGTATTTTTTAAAAATAATAATCTTGTAATATATACAATCACAAGTCATAAAAATAACCAAATTTTCTTTTTGTTATCAATTTTTAAATATGCATCATATTCAATTTACATATATATGATGTTAAAATATAAAAATGGAGGTTATTAATATACATTTGAATTTATGTATATCATTTGTGTAAGTATATTTGTATTTATAGTCAAATTTCTTTAATCTGTCATCCCCCAAGCGACTCCATTGACGATCTGAAAACAACTTCGCAAATTTCCATTGTTTTGGCCGGCGTCGGTCACGTTCTTTCTCTGTTATTTCCTTTCTCTAGTTTTTGTAATGTTTAGTTTTCCATTATCATATCATGGCAATTTGATGGTCTCAAATATATGTTCTTTGCCACAATGAGTCGGTGGTGATCAAGGTTTTTCGTCAAACGGTGGTAGATCAGATTATGATTTTGCTTCAGTTTCTTATTTGGTTGGCCTATAAGTTCAACCTGATTCCACATATCTTTTTGACAGATTCATCACACCAATGTCTCTTGTTCTTAGTCATGTCGATTTGTTTGAATCGTAATGTATTTCTTTATATAAAGTTTGTTTCCAGTGATCACTTTCATTGGCGTAATCTCCGGTTCTCAACCGATGAAGTTTCTCCTAGCATGTGGTTTAGAGAAGTCATTTGGATTTTTGATCCCGGAATTAATAGAAAAATATGTTCGATTGAAGGAATTGACCTCTGCGACTTCCTTATTCCAAGGACATGGTGTTATGGTGGTGATGTTGTTTCTACCTCACGTTCGGATTATTCATGTTTCATGGGAATGGAAACCTTCATCACTAAACGGCAACGATGGGTTAAGCGCTATAAAAGACATGATCCAAAACCATTTCAAGCAACATATCAATGTGTTCGTTTAATCGGTGTAATGCGAAAAGCATTTGGGAGTTTCATCAATAAGATGTTAGTCTTGTACGAGTGTATGAAGAGGGGTTTTAACAGATTTTCTCTGTTGCCTGTAAAGCTTCCGTTTGGAAAGCAGGGTCACTTCCACTTCTTCATCGAAATTGTGTTCAATTTCCTTTATTTGGTTCAACGGTTGTATTTAAATGGTTTTATCACTTTATGTATCATGTCACATTTGTTATGATATAATATATTTGATTTGCTGTTAGAAAAAGAGTCAAATTTCTTTTTTCCTAAATATAATATTCATTTTCAAACTATAGTCTTATTTTTTTAATTTTTTTTGTCAATTCAAAATTTTTAAAAAATTTGAAAAACTAAATATCATTATCAATTAATAATTATTAAATTTACACTATAAAATATCTTGGTCCCAATATTATTAATATATAGAGGTTTTACTGTATATATTAATTTATGGAGATGAAGGATGGCGAGGTATCAATGTGGTTTGCTAAAGAACATGGATGTATGCAAATCTTGCCCAGAAGAAGCTTGCGGAGAAGAACAAAAATTGTAGAGAGAAGTTAGAGCGACGAATAAAAAATATATGGATGATAATGATAAGAGAAAACATCTTTACCACTATTTTGAGTTTTCAAGAAATATGCCGGGAAGCAATCTTTGTAAGTTATTTGTGGGTAAGAAACATAATCTATATATATAATAGGAGAGTTTTCTCTCCCTCTATAGCTGTCCACATCAGCATTTTTTCTAATTTTTCTGTCAACCCCAACAGATAATCTAAACCCATATATTTCGTTCATCATTTTATTGTCTTTTGGCCTGTTAGTTTGTAATTTAAGCCTGAACACTTTTATATCTAAATTGGGTTTATTTTCTATGACATTAAAAGGAACTTATTATTTAGCCCAATATAATATAAGCCCAAATAAGTTAATAGGTTTAGGGTGTCTCTCACTTATGTTCTTTCTTCTATGGGCTTAGTGAATGATAAAGGCCCACTTCATAACAGCAAAATAATATTGGGATTACACAAAAATGTGAATCTTTAATTTTCAATTGTCACGGAAAACCTAATAAAAAACTTATTGAGCTTTGATTTTTTTTTTCATTTTCTTCAGCACCAGAAATCTCATTTTCTTCTTCAATTTCTCAATTCACATTTTAGCCTCCATGCTATAAAAATAGAATTCATAATTTAGTTAATTTATGTATTAATAATTATCATTCCTTTAGGAATCTATGTTATAATTAAGATATTCATTTTTTTATTTTTAATTATATTAGTGCAGTCCGATTTTAAAAACAAACTATCTAATATCACATATATAGATTCAACAATATAAAAAAGTAGAATTTCTAGTTTTGATTTTTTTACAATATATAATCTATATACCCCAATTAATTTTTGTATGTTAGTAAAATTGATTAAAAAGATACAACATATATTCATTGGTATTAACTGTTATTCTGAATCCATAAAAACAAAACAAAACAAAGTAGGGATGGGGGATGAGAGAAATTATAAAGGGAAACAAAGAGAGACGAGAGAAAGTGCAATGGCGTTGGCGGCTGAGTATGATGATCAGTCTAATTGGAGAGGCATTCCGAGACTACATCATCAAGCTTAAGGCAATAAAGATGGCTGGGAAAAGTTAAGGCAATAAAGATGGCTGGGAAAAGTCAAAAAGGTTTATGCGAAAAGACCACTCGATTTTGCTAATGATGAAGGAAGTGAATTCACTCATCGTCATTAGGAAAATGCACAAATTTAGGAGTGAGGGCAGCAGCGTGGATAAGCAGGAAGGTAGGCAGCATATTTGGTTAAAGCTCAGGTAACGGGCCAGCTAGTGTAGGTGTGGAAAACCTAGTTGTTGGGGCTTTCTAGGTAGCTAGTGTAGGTATGGAAAACCTAGTTGTTGGGGCTTTCTAGGTAGCTAGTGTAGGTGTTGGGGCCAGCTAGTGTAGGTGTGAAAAGTCAAAAAGATTTATGCGAAAAGACCACTCGATTTCGCTAATGATGAAGGAAGTGAATTCACTCATCGTCATTAGGAAAATGCACAAATTTAGGAGTGAGGGCAGCAGCGTGGATAAGCAGGAAGGTAGGCAGCATATTTGGTGAAAGCTCAGGTAACGGGCCAGCTAGTGTAGGTGTGGAAAACCTAGTTGTACAGCCTATCATCCCCAGACATGTGGACAAGTTGAGGTCTCCCACAAGCAGATAAAAGAAATCTTGTCAAGAGTTGTTGGGGCTTCGAAGAAAGATTGGTCTACCAAGTTGGATAATACTCTATGGCGTACAGAACAGCTTTCAAGACACCAATAGGAAGGACGCCTTTTCAGTTGGTGTATGGTAAAGCATGTCATCTCCATGTGGAGATTGAGTAAAAGGCGCTTTGGGCTATCAAGCTTCTGAACTTGGACATTGATGCAGCCCAGGCAAAGAGAGTTCTTGATATCTATGAACTTGAGGAAATCAGACTTGATGCTTTTGAAAGTTCAAAAATCTACAAGGAGAGAACCAAAGCTTTCCATGACAAGAGGATTGTTGTTAAGGAGCTTAAGGCTGGAGATCACGTCTTGCTGTTCAATTCCAGACTTAAGCTGTTTCCTGGAAAGCTCAAGTCTAGATGGTCTGGATCATTTGAAATCAAAGATTTTTTGCCATTTGGTGCGATCACTCTCCTGAACAAGGATGGCAGCGAGTTCACTGTTAACGGTCAACGTGTCAAGCGTTACCTAGCTGATCAAGAGACACTAGAAGGGTCCTCCATACCTCTCTATGAGCCTCACAAAGCATAAAAGGCATAAACAGTCAAGCTTACTGACTTTAAACAAGCTCACTTGGGAGGAAGTCACAAAGGTATCCTGTAAATATTGCTTAGGATTTTTTGTGTTTTTGATTTTTGTTTTTGGTTTTCTGTTAGTCAGGATTTCAGATAGATGGAGTAATGCAAAGAGTATCAGAAGAGTTAAAAACATAGTGAGGTGCAGATGCAGAATCGAGTATGACACAGTGAAAAATATGGAGTGGGAGACAAAAGATGTTTAGGATTGTCACCTCAAGGAAAAAAATTAAAAAAAAACAAAAAAAAAACCCCACTCAACCCTACACTCACCCACTCGATCTATAACCACTCAAATCCTATCTTCACCTCACTCTATCATCTCACCCACTCGACCACTCATTCTATACTCTATCTCTCAATCCTCTCACTCGATTCACTCATTTCACTCGATTTCATCATTCAACCATTTTCACTCTCTCTTACTCGACGCACCTCACCATCACACCACTCGTACTCGACCCTTACTCGACTCACTACTCCGCTGCATCCACACTCGCGCACCTACAAGTCACTCCAGCCACCGTCCCGTTTCTCGCTTCACTTAACGGACTCCATTCGACCCACCATCTCGCCATCACCACCACTCGAGCACGCCGTCAGAGCATTACTCGAGCAGAGAAGCCTCACTCGATGGGCAAAATCAACCGTTGCTCTACTCTGTTGTTCTCATCACTCACCCGACGCGGTTACTCGAGCTAAAGCAACAAGAAGAGCTCCACCGACAAACCACTCGACCGTGTACCAACTCACTCGAGCTCCACCCCCAACCGACAAGTACTCGACCCACTTTGTCTTCACCGGTGCTACTCGACCAAATCCCTTCACTCGACGGCAAAGCTCTCGACTCTCACTCGTTCGGCTCCGCCACCCGACCACCGAAGATATCACAAGAAGCCGTTGACGCTATCCACGCTCAGTCTCACTCGATTGTACTACTCGGATTTTACTTCACTCGACCCACAGCAGCTCAATCCTCATACGTCCGTCTCACTTGATGCGCCTCTCCACGGTACACCCCACCTCACTCGGACACCTTACTCGACCATCATTGTTTACGTGGCCCGTGTTCCTCACTCGACGGATCTATCATCACCCGCTACTCGAGTAGACGATCCTTCACTTTCACCTCTCACTCAACGCGTGTATGCCTTGGATAGCTCACTCGACCGAGAAGTGCAAAAGTGATAAATTTGCTAAGTGTTACTTCCCTTTGCATTTCTCTATATAAATTGGCTATTTTATCTTGATATTTGGCACACTAACAAGCTAATTTTTAGCTTTGAGTTCTAACTGTTTCAGTTTCACAATGTCAAGAGATTTGTTGCATGAAATGCGTGAGAAGTATAGTTCTAAACCAACAGAGCGTGCATCTCCTCAGTCTATGTCTAAGGTTTATATGGAGAAGAAGAAAGCTGCATATCAGAGAGCGTCTGGTGTTGGTCCATCTAGACAAGAGGTAGAGCAAGTAAGTCCTCGGGTAAGAAACCAATGGAGCTGCAGGATGACGACAGTGATTATGAGCTTAAAGAGCATCCACCTGTCCCAGCTCACAAGTCGGTGTAGAAGAAGAAGGCAGAGAAGTGGTCAGCCCCAGGAGAGTATTACAAGCTGTTTCAGCAGCATGAGTTTAAGGGCACGAGGTACCCTTGCCAGCAGACAATGGATGAGCTAGCTATCTCTGATGATGTCAAGCATTGTCACCTCCGCACTCTTATGACTAGTCCGCGAAACGCATACCGGGAGGAGACAATTCAGTTCCTCTGTACGCTTGCCATACATCTTTATGAGGATGATCCGGACATAGAGTCAGATGGAGGATAGGGATACATCACCGTCACCATCCATGATCATGAGTATCTACTGACCATCAGAGAGGTTGAAGGTTTGTTTGGATTCCCTAATGGAACAGGGACTGGGCAGAGGATTGATAGGGATGAATTGTTGGCTCTTTGGGAAACGATTGGGAATGATAAGAAGTTCGCTTCATCTAGGACCAAGAGCAACCACATCAGAAGTCTAGTTATCCGCTACTTCCATCGATCAATTGTAAACGTGTTCTTCGCGAGGGAGACAACAGGGACACTGATCAACGGGGAGATGGAGATGATTGATCTTGCACTCAAAGATCTCTTGTTAACAGCAGTAGATGGGACACTACTGCGAGGTGATACGACTGATACATCCCCCTCGTTCACAATGTTGCACCAGCTACTCAGTTACAGAACTTGGGTAGTGAAGCTGAGCAGCTGCAGAACTCAAGGAGTTATGTGTATGGGAGGGTTGGTGACAGTCATCTTGGAAGCTTGTAGCGTCCCGCTGAGTTCAGAGCCTATTGCACCGAGATTCATCGACATTCAGAATTTGAGGCAAGCTCAATGGTTGCATTGGGAGAAACGCAACGGGTTATATATGTACTACTTCACTCACCCGGTACATGGTGATGTGCGGTTTCTGCTTCCTTGTATTGCTTTCACTAGGATACTCGAAGGAAGCAACATTGAGTTTACTCCTCCTACAGAGGCTCTCTACACAACAGATGGTGCGGAAGCGATGGAGGTATCTGAGAAAGAGGATGATGAGATGGAAGAAGATTCAGATGAGTATAGACCAGAGAGGTACCACTTCAAGGACTACACAGCGCCTAGACAAGGCAAGAGTTTGGTAGAGGCTCACAAGCGTATCAGTACACCTCAGAAGTGGAACATGCTGCAAGAGAAGGCAATAAAATCTATGAAGTCGAAGATGAAGAGCTTCATGAGTAAGTTTAGCTGCGCCTCCACCACCACAGCTTTTGCAGACACTACTCCGCAGGATGCTAGACCCGTTCAGCGCCGTTTGTCCACGAGTGATGTCCCAGCACGCTATAGAACTCCTTCTTCATCACGTCATTCCGCCTATGAGTATAGAGAGCATAATGTTTCTTCTTCTCCTCTGAGACAGTCCTCCCCTTAGCTTAGGGCTAGCAAAAAGAAGGAGAAACGGAAAAAGAAGAAGGCAGCGAGACGGAAGGCAAAAGGCAGTTCATCACACTTGCTAGAGGAGCATCACGTTGAGGACCTGACTGTTGATCCAGGTGCGTATCATTTCCAAGACCGCACTGCGGATCCTGTCGAGCAGAACGTTGAGCATCCTACAGAGGCTCCTCCTGTGCAGCCTGCACCAGGTGCTTATACAAGCGAGTCCATGACTCAATACCTGAACTGCTATTTTCAGTGAGGTACCACTCCAAACCTTCATCTGTATATACCATTGCATTTTCATACTTTTGTTTGTTTAATTCTCAAACCAACTCTCAAATTTTTATTACACAAGGGACTGTGTAATTTAAGTTTGGGGGAGGGTTTGGGATGACATTTGATGTTGTGTTCTCTTTTCTTATTTTGAATTTTTAGCATATAATTTGCATTCATATTTGTGCATTGAAAACCCCTAAAAATTTGAAAAATTTTCAGAAAAAAAAATCTTTAAAAAACAGAGTGATCATGTAGCTTGCATTTGCATATTAGGATTGAGTCTAGACTGTTTCATATAGGACTGTTGCATTAGCATAGGGGGCGATGATGATTTACACCTAGTTGATTTGCTATGATTCACTAGTTGAGATCAATGCCCTGGTTGTTAGCTTTTTGATACATGATGATTGAACTTGAAGTAAGTCTGAAACAAACTTGGAATTCATGGAGAGTATTCTTGAAATTAGTTGAAACATGTTGCAAATATCTGGTTGTGTTTTGCTTGCATGCTCATGGTCACCACATACATATTTTGATCATCTTCCTCCTTTCACCAATCTTGTTGATCCAAGTAGCTGATCTTTCTTTTGATCAGTTTGCCATACCCACAGCCTATCCTTTTCTTTCAAGCCAATTGATAATTTTTGAGTGGTAGGTCTTTTACCGGATTATGCTTGGGGAGAACGTGTTAGGTATGAGCCGACAGGATTAAAATCTTGAGTAGTTCTGATTTTCACTTTTAAATCAGATAGGACTACGTCTGGATTCTTACTTGGGTTTGGGATTGGAATGATTGTGAAAAAAGAAGAGAAACAGAAAAAGTTGTGTCCTTAGGAGGAGAATGTTTTCTAGAAGTTTATACTCTAGTGATTGATTTTTGTGGGGATAGCACGATATACAGAGAATGGTTCTGGGATGTAAAGAAAGAGAAAAAGTTTTGATGTCTTATAACGTAAGAAGAAAACAGAACCATAGTAAAGAAGAAACTCTCTATCCACTAGTATTGATAAGAAACTTCTCCTAAGGCAAAAAGAAAAAAAATGAGATTGATGTTGAAGGGTAGACAAAGGGATCCTTCGGGTTTAGATGATTAGGAGTAAGCACTTGGGAACCATTGGGTAGTCAAGGTTTTATTCTTGTATGCATTTATTGTTACTTACCTTTAGCATTCTCCCTAAAGCTCAATCCATTCATTGAGAGATCCTTGTCCTGAAATTGTTTAAACCCCCTTGATTCTCAAAACCTTTTTCTGCCTAGCCAAGTGAGTTTGTTAAGCCTTGCACGACCAGATTCATATACTTGATTAATGAATGTTAAACGGAATGAATGATTTGAATGCATGTGTAGATCAAGGGATAGAATAAGTTTCGGATTTGAAGAGTTTGTCTAAAGTCTTTAAGTAAAGTTCTCTCAGCATGCATCAAAGACTTAGCAACCAGGACATTGATTTTAACTGCTCTATCTTGCAAGTTACAGGTTCTGAGACCCCATTTTCAAACCTCTCTTCCACTTTGTTTCTTTTTGCTTTGCTTGAGGGCAAGCAAAGACTAAGTTTGGGGGAGTTGATAAGTCTGTATTACATCACTTTTTGAGCATGCATTCATCATCTTTTCAGCATCATTCACTTGTTGATTCGCATCATATTGATACCTTTCTGCATTATTTACATACTTAGGTAGGTTTTATGCATATCATGCATATCTTGCATACATTGTGCATA